AATTTGTTTACATACATGTTTGCTTAAACACCATGAAGGAATTATGATAAAATCTTGTCCTAAAAAAACTCGTTTTTAGGCATTTTTTACACTTAAATCATAGTTTATACCACAAAATGTGACGTAATTCAGTTACCAGAAGAAAGTTACTTCGTGTTTTCCACCGAACGACGGATCGGGCCGGGCTGGTGACGTAAGCCGGAAAGGATGACGTCGTTCTAAAAAGTGAGCCCTACATCTACACATAAATAGGTCGCCCACACGGCTGATGCCATGTCAAGTGCACATGGTGCCCGTTACGCAATCCGGGGAGCAGTGCAGTGAAGTGGGTACTTACTTATATTCCTCCCGTCGGGCAGCATTCATATTTCAGGAAACGGTGCGACTTTCTTCCATCAATTCTTGAATGGCGTCCCATCTCATCTCGAAAATGGGAATTATCTTAACTTAACTTAAATTAATTATTTTCGACATTAACATAACTTACAAATGGTAATATCAAATTTTATCCTAAACAGAATTACGTGTACACAAATAATTTGCAGAAATATGAGAATTTTCTGTAATCCTTGCGATTCTTGAAAGGTTATGGTTATTTTAAAAAATTACAAAAACGAATTAAAAATTACAAAAAAATTCCGAAGCATTAAAATTTTCTGTGGTGTATTAATTTTTATCTACTAAAAACTGCAAAAAGTTCCAAATTTCAAATCACCCCGATATTAAGACTCTTGTTGTTGCTTTCCTATTCTCAATATTGTCAAAAATGTAAGACATTTACTGTTAGATGGTACATATAAGTATCTAAGTAAGTATTTTTACGACTATTTACTCCACAAAGTGTCCCCACTGCTTGGATGCATATTTGCTTATTTCTTGCCCGTATGTTGACGACGGGTATGAAGAACACTCCTAGAAAACTGGTATTAAATCATTACTAACCGGGGTAAATATACGGATGACTTTACCAGCCCAGGTGATAACGGGGATTACCGTTAAGGAATGTTGTGGTAGGGAAAATGTACAACTCAGAAACAAATTACTACCAATCCGGTAGGAAATTATTACCAAATCAATACCAGGATGGAATAAAATAAGTATGTCACTCTACCAGATTTTTAACAGTGTATCTATCTCCTTATTTTTTACCCGCATGTACATAGACGACGAATAACGTAGCAGAAGGAAGGGACAGATTTGAGATTATGGAGATCAAACCCTCCAGCATCCATCCATCCATCCCTTAAATGAAGAGGACCCCACTCACTCACTCGCAGGAACAACAGCTTGACTCTGACATTACAAGTTGTTGGGGTGCTAGCGAGTGAGAGAGGATGCAAATAATGGCCCATTTTCTCCCCCAACTCGATACGGTAAAAGTAAAGAAAGTGAAGTAATGACAGGGCCAGATCCACATCCAGATTCCTCTTATTGCAAAAGATTATATTAATTTTGTCACCATTTCCTGGCTTCGCTGTCTGGAAAATACAATAAAATCACGGCGACAAGATGTTATGGGGAGAAAGTTTTGAGGAAAGTATAAATAAATGTTATGACGCTGTTTTGTGTAAACTGCGCAAAAATAAATCACGGAGATGAGATGTTATCTAATTTCTTTATGGGGAGAAAGTTTTGAGGAAAGTATTTACATAAATGTTATGACGCTATTTTACATATCTACGTATGTAAACTGTGCAAAAATTTGGCATGTGTGGCGTTATTACATGACAGTTTAGCTTTGCAAATTTCTGGATAATTAAGAGCTCGATACGGTAAAAGTGAAGTAATGCCCGGGCCAGTTCCAGATTTCTCTTATTGCAGAAGATTATATTGCTTTTGTCACGAAATTACCTCATTGGTAATGGAAAATAAGTATAATAAAATCTCGGCAACGAGATGTTATGTAATTTCCTTCTGTGGCGAAAGTTTTGTCGAAAGTATTTACATAAATGAGAAGAGGTTATTTTACGTAAACTGGATAAAAGGTTATGTGTGTATGTACAATAGTTTTGGTTGTAAACTTCGGTTGTGGGTAATTAAGAGGCGTCTGTATTGATGTATATATGAACTGAATTTGGTTCAAAATTTTAGGAAAAACTTGAGAAAAATTGAAAATTATAGAGCAGTTTATTAGTTTATAAACTTCTGGGCAATTTAGAAATCCATAAATATGACATTTATAAGGTAAATTTTGTTTCCAAATTTTAAGACGACAAAATTTAAAATGTTGAGCATTCTACACTAACCAATTGTCCAAATAAACGAGATAAATAAAGAAATTAAAATTTGTCTGCTTGATAACCTATAGATTTTTTGGATAATTTTTAAATACAAGAATTTTAAACTCGACAAAATTTACCAGCTTTTTCCTATTCATTAATTTTCACCTAAATTGTCTCGTTAATATAAACGCGAGGTTTTTTGTCAATTTTTCAATCCTAAAATTGTTACCTGTTCAAAATTTACAAACATTTCATATCCATTTACTTACTTACTTTCACTTTCACCTAAATTGTCTACAAATGAGTGGTATTTTTGGTCAGTCATTACAGCCACATGGGAGGCTAGATCATCATCATCTTAATATCCTACGCGACCATTATCATCATCATTTCATCCCGTCCGGTCCCATCCCATCCGTCGACCGAGATTGTCTTCATCCTCGTGTCGGAATTATCCTTGTGAAGCGAATGAACGAATTACTGCGCACAAACAAATTAAATCCTGCCAAACAAAGAATTCCATGTAAGCGTAGGGAAGGGACCCCTCGTAAAGTACGTCCTGGATTTTTGAAAATTCGATATTTTGAAAATTTAAAGAATTTTTTAAGAATCGACAATTTTTGATTTTAAAAAAATTTGCCCATTATTTTACGACTTCATGCTTTATATTGGGTCCTAGGAATCCTACCAATTCTGTGTATTTATGTATAGGGACGGGACCCATGTGGTAGATTTTTGAAAATTCGATATTTTGAAAATTTCAACAACTTTTTAAAGAATCTTGACAATTTTTTGATTTTTTACAAATTTACAAATAAACAATTTTTAGATGACAGGCTTTCTGTACGGCCCTGGGAACCCTTCTGACAACATTCCGTTCCTCGATTATGTGATTTATGGCACGAATTACGCAACCCGATGAGACGATTTTCTCCCTTCGCTAGGAGAGAATTTTCATTTCGTATGCGTCCACTGATTCACTTGTTCCCGTCCGGTAAAAAATGAGGTCCCCGATATTTGTTCACGGAGTGCTTTGTAACTTCGTAAAATCCATAAACTTACAAACTTTTAGAGAAAAATTTCTGAGAAAAATTAGCTCCCAATTTTTTGTAAACTTGTTCAGATCAAGGGCATCTCATTATTTTGAAAAACTTTGTTCCATTATTTTACGAAATTTACGAATTTTACAAATTTACGTGAGTAAATTTCCTCACTTTAATATTAAAAATAGTAAAATATTTAAAAAATATTTTACTTTTACTTAACGTCTCAACTTTTTACAAAACGTTGGTAAAAATCGTATTAAAATTCACAACTCGTCGAACTCGTTCCGTTAAAAAGTGTGGTAATAAATATTGTTACCGCTTGGTTACAAATTCCTGTACCCAGTTTGTATTGTAGCCATTTCATAAAATATCTTGGGTTTTTTACCATTATTCCTTTTATTATAACTTTTAACAAAAACTTTTTGATAAAAATCACGTTAGCATGTTTTCACCCAGGAAATGCAATGTGAATCAGGGATCATTTCTATCTATTTTTTTTAAAAAGTTTGTACTTTTTAACAAAGTGTGTGGTGTGACGAGTATCATTTTTTAGGGAATCACACTTCTCAACAAAAGGAAGGGACGCCAAAATCGGAAATTAATAATTCCGGTCGACAACGAGGAAATGGAAGGGGATCACGTGGCTGAAAATATAAAGTCATAATTTTCACATGATCATTCCTCTCTGAAATTTAAGTGAATAAAATAATTTCATGAAAAAAATCACTCGAGAAATACAATTCCCAAAGGAATATTTTTGATGCAAATTATGAAATGAAAACCTAACTTAATTAGTACTTTAATTAACATTATACATGCTCAAAAATTCACCTGATTTAATTTTTTATACAAATTACTTCATTTTTATTCTTGTTGACGGTCAACCATTACAATTTTCAATATGTGTAAATACATATTGCAGACATTATTCTGTTAACGCTCAACTCAACAATGTCAAAATCTTCTTCAATTTCTCCAAATTTTCACTCTTTTCCTGAAAATTTCTGAATGCCAATTCATTCGAAACGGTAAAAAATTCGTTAAAATTTCCAAATTTTGTCTATATTTCAAATTTTCTTCGTTTTAACGCTCAACCATTCCAAGTTTTACTTTCTCTAATTTTCCTCACTCTCTTTTTCCTCAAAATGTCTGACTATTTGCATGCAAAACGTTAACAAGTCCGTCAAAATTTACAATTTTTAAGTACAATATTTCACACTTTCTTCTCGTTAAGAATCACCTCAACCATTTCAAACTCTTCACTTTCTCCAATTTCTCTCCCTCTTTTTCCTCAAAATGTCTGACTATTGGGATCCAAAACGTTAACAAATCCGTCAAGAATTGCAAATTACAATTTTGAAGTACAATATCTCACACTCCTCCTTATTCATTCTAAAGCCTTTACTTTCTCCAATTTCTCTCCCTCTTTTCCTCAAAATGTCTGAATATCCACCCAAAACGTATCTGTAAATACGTAGCAAATTCGACTTTCACCACCATCGCTTTTACTTTCACTTTCACTTTCACCACCACGACCACGACGACTTATTCCACTTGCACCACTTCCACCACCCACTCTGCGTGAATGTCAAAGGTGAGAAATTGAGAATCGATGAGGACGAGGCGTTCCATTGGTGGGGAGAAAGTGGAACGGCAGCCTCTCCAGCAGACGACCCACCTCCTTTCTCCACACCAGACCCAACCGCCGCACCCCACTTTCCACTCACTCCACCGATACACGTCCTCCCTTAAATACTTTCACCCTCTTCTCCGCTCTCCCAAATTATTGTTTCAAAAAAGTTTCAAAATTTTATTCGGAAATAAAAATTAATCTATAAAAAAGTAACAGCTTTCACTTTCATCTTTAATAAAATTTCGATTTGTTGTGTGGTTTCATTGTTCTAAATTTTTGAGTTTTCCTCCTGTGCGAAAACTGGATTTGTGAATTAGTGCGGACAAATTTGTGATATAGAAAGTAAAATAGCGTATTTTTCAGGGTTGTGAGGTGAAATCATAAGGTTGAGGTGGAAGAGAAAGTTGGAAGTGGTGAGTGAAAGAGAGGTGAGTTGTCTCAATTTGCCCCCTTAATTCGATATTTATGAAGGACAGGGGAAGGTCGTTTTGTTACATACTTTGGGTTGAATATGATTTTTAAAATTACTCCAGTTGAGACAGGAAATTTAGTCAGAAACCAAAAAAGTATGGGAAAAATTAAAATATGAATATTGAAGATTTTATATCTAGATTTTGAATTTTTAAGTAATTTTTTTAATTACTCAAATTAAGACAAGAAATTTGGGCAGTAAGCGAAAAAAGTATGGGGAAGATGATAATATTGCAGATTTCCGTTTTCTAACTAAATTTTGCATTTAAAAATAAATTTTTAAAAATTGCTCAAATTGACAGAAAATTTAACCACAAACCAAAAAAAGAAACGAAAATATATTGTAGATTTCCGTTTATTCTTTCTTCTGTAGTAATTACAGCTATATATCTACAATTAATCGCTAAAAATCAGTTAACCGTGATTAATTTTTTCGAATAAAAAATATCTACCTACTTCCAAATTCTAAATTTCCTTACTTTTTACCGATACATCAATCTTCAATACAAATTTTTAATTAAATTATTTTTAATTTTCATTTCTCGACGTTTTAGTCACACAAAAGTTGTTTTTACACAAAATAAACAAAAACAAAAATATTAATATAAAAAAAACAGTATTTTATTTTTGAAACAATAATTTTTTAATATAATAATATTAATAATTTTTTCGAAAACAAATATCTGCTTCCAAATTATTATTTTCCTTGCTCTTTGATGTCACCTCGATCTTCATTAATATTTCAAAATTCAACTATTTTTAATTTCTATTTCTCGACATTTTAGTCACACAAAAACATGTGTTTAATTTTTGTTACTTAAAACATAAAAAAAATTTACCAAAAAATTGTAAAAAATCCATTTTCTCTACAGATTATCTAGGAATTCGTGCCGTGTAAAAAAAACTTACACAAAATTGATCTGGAGTCGTGTGAAGGAATGAAGTCAATTTCGAAGACGATCACTGAAGCGTCTGACAAAGTGAAGGAAACCATGAACACGGCCATGAACAAGAGCTCCAACATCGTCAGCGGTGGAGGACAGGTTAAGGACATTGGTCATCTCTACTACACGGGTAAGTCACTTATACGCCTTATCAATGATAAGATGATAAGTATTTAAGTCACTTCTCCGCCTTATGAATGATAACTTATCACAGATAAGTACACATCCGTCTTATCAATGATAATAATGTTCAACTTTTTCATTTAATACGGTGTGGGTGTGTCCCCTAAGCCGGATGGAGCACAAAAATTTCAAAATATTTTTGCATATTGGAACATACTTTTAGGTTTTTAGAAATATAAATATTTCCGCTATTATTTGAAAAATACGAAAACTTACATATTTTTTCACAAAAAACGTATATTTTTATAAATATTTGAAGTATGTACACGAGATGGAATTTTTTTTACTGAACAAAATTTGAACACAAAAAATAGCCATCATTATGTTCAGAAATATGTACACATTTTGCGAATATTTTATATTTTTATGCCTTTTTTCGCACATATTTATTTCGTAAATATTTTGGCGTTTTTTTCGTAAATATTAAATACATATTTCATCGAATTTTCATAAATGCATGTCAATGCCCTTGGCTTATCAATTGAGAGGATGAGTTCGGGGGAAATATGAGACAAATTCCTGCCTATGGATTATCCATGATAAGCCCCCACCGCAATAATAATAATCAAATCTGTCCCGTGATTAATAAGTTGCTATTGCCAATCTCAAAAAATTCCTCCGTTTGGATTATCCCTGATAAGCCGCCGCAGTCATAATCAAATCTGTCCCGTGATAACTTTCACTTTCACCCGACAAGTTTCCCCCCTTCTGAATTGAATTGAATGGGGACGTGTGGCTGGTGCATCAATCAAGTCAATTGTGGTCTGCCATTGTCAGCTCTTGAATGAATCTACTCTTCAATTCAGATACAGTGGCGATGAGCACACAGTGGCCGCGGAAGCCGTGGGGGCATCGGGGGACAGTTAGGATAGGGGAGGGAGGGGTATGGGCACATAATGGGTACATCGAACAACCGTGGGGACATTGTCCCTTTCTCCTGACCCCACGCTTCCGCGGCCACTGGATGAGCACACACAGAAGTAAAAGTGATGGTGGTGTTGGTGTTGGTGAAAGCAAACAATGGGACGTTTTTTTTCTGGGCAAAGTGTCCATATCTCCCTCAACCACGACTCCCCAGGGATACATATCCGCCACCAAATTCTGGTGTACGAACATTTCCGTAGGGTTGTTCCAGGAAATTTGAGAAGAGAGAGAATCTTTCAGCGGTATGAATTTCTGAAAAAAAGTTGAAATTTGATATAAAAAAAATTTTGTGGACAAACATGAGAAATTTCATCATTCCATGAAACGTTTGAGACATATCAATCATATAATCATATTGCTATTAATAGAGGTAATTCACGTAGGCCTTACAATGCAAGTCTTTTACGTGTACAACTCAGATCTGGATGGGACCAATTTTATTTTGTTCACCACAAAAAATAAGCATACCCGTATTTTTGCATTTATCACAATGCGCTAATTTGAGCGCGGGGCGCGAATTTTAAAACATTTTTCAGCCAAAACCTCGGTTTTTAAAAATTCTGTAAATTTTCGAATTTTAGCCCGAATCAAAAAATTCGAAAACATGTCTCCTCAGAATGACTTACCTGACTTATGAAAAATCCAATTGTCTCGAAATTTGATTTTCAAAATTTTTTGCCAGTTTTTGAAATTTATTAAAATTATAAACTCTTTCAAATTTTTAGTTTTTCAAAAAATAATACATGTGGATTTTTCATAAGTCAGGTAAGACATTCTGAGGAGACATGTTTTCGAATTTTTTGATTCGGGCTAAAATTCGAAAATTTACAGAATTTTTAAAAACCGAGGTTTTGGCTGAAAAATGTTTTAAAATTCGCGCCCCGCGCTCAAATTAGCGCATTATGAAAAATGCAAAAATACGGGTATGCTTATTTTTTGTGCTGAACAAAATAAAATTGGTCCCAACCAGATCTGAGTTGTACACGTAAAAGACTTGCATTGTTAGTAACTTTGTAAAATTCATGAACTGCCTGGTTTATACAATCTTTTACAAAAAATTCCAGTGAAAATTAGCCTACAAATTTGTAATTCAAAGGTTTGAACAAGTTTGTAAAATTATGTTATAAAATTTACGAACGTTACAAACTTACCAAGAATTGCGTTAATTGCCTCACAATTTACAAATATTCCGAACAAGGAAACATATTAGAAATAATTTTGCAAATTTTACAAAAATCATTGATAAAGTTGACGTGAATATATTTTAAGTTTTTTAACGCACTTTCTTCTCTACATATTCAATCCCCAATTAAATTATTCCACTCCACCCTTTCGATTAAAGCAGTTTATGCAATCACCCCAATAATCTGGGTGCAGTGCAACAGTGTCATATTTATTTATGTATGTATCTCTCCTTCGTTATTCTCACTCTCTCTCTCAAGGGGTGACTGAGTTTGAGATGGGATCACTTAAAACGTGTCTCTCTGGACGTATTTCATCCATCCTCACCCTTCATCAAAATCTCGTTGGAGGCAATAAATATGCTGCTCCTTTTCCTCCCATGTATAATATTATATTATACATGCATAATTAGGATTCAATGCATTTATGTATGACGTTCAAATGGCAAGAATTGATTTGTATGCATGAAATTGCGAAAATTTTCAAACTTAAAATGCAAGGAATTCGTTTTGGTCCCCGAAATGTTGGAAATTTTCATGTTAAAAATCACTTATTTTGGCGACTGAGTTTGAGATGGGATCACTTAAAACGTGTCTCCCTGGACATATTTCATCCATCCGCACCCTTCATCAAAATCTCGTTGGAGGCAATAAATATCCTTCTCCTTTTCCTCCCCTGGAAATCATCCTGACTTTTTCAATATGTGCTCAGCACACTCGTTCACTTTCATGTAAATTCAGAGTAGCATTTATGGCTGTACGTATATCTAATATTTTTTATCCAGGAGTTAAATTAATGCCAATATTGCAGTTCATATTCAATGAATTTATGTATGTATGTATAACATGCAAATGGTCAGAATTGATTTTTATGCACGAAATACCGAAAATGTGGATATTTAAATTTGTCAGAAATTCATTTTCGTGCAAAAAAATGCAGGATATTTTCATGCAAAAAATTGTTACCACTTTTTATTCCCCAAATGCCTGGAATTCATATTCGTGCACACAATGCAAAATATTTGCACACAAAAATTTCTACAATTTCGATGTTTTTATTACCAAAATTCCTAATTTTTGTATCCTCGAAATTGCATAAATAATTCTACTCATAAAAAATCCCTATCTGTACTGACATGTTTTTGAATTCCAATTTTTTTGCGGTAGACCTTGTCCCCTGGAATCCAGAAGGTGGGAAAGAACTCCACGAGTTTTACCAGCGACTTTTGACCTACATTTTGGAATTTGTGGACAAGACGAACGACCGGAACGAGAAGATTGTCGACTTTCACCACCCCGCGCAGCTCATGGAAGTCATGGACTTTTCAATCCCAGACGAACCGCAGAATCTCGATCAGCTCCTCGTTGACTGCAAAGATACCTTGAAATATCAGGTCAAGACGGGTAAGCAGACTTTTTTCTATGTAATTAAGACCACAATTAATTAGTTCGATTTAATGGTTTCCGTAAATTTCAACCAATTTACTTACAACGCTCAAGTAATAATAATGACGAAATACGCTTAAAGTTGTTCTAAATTTCACTTTAAAATTGGCACAGAATTGTAAACTTTTTTCTCTGTAATTATAGGCGAACAATTAATTAGTCAATTATTAATAATCCGACTTACAAAAATTAGCTGTTTACAAAAATTTCAACCAATTCACAACGCTCAACTTACAAAATTGCAAATTTGAAATTTATAAAACTTTGCAAATAATTGCTAAAATACTCCCAAAGTAATTTAAATATACTATTAACGCGGAAATGACTGCAATAAGTAATAATCGTAATTGTAGATTTTAGTTACTTTAACTGCAAAAAAGAACCACTCTCTTTACAACCTCCAATTAAATTAATGCTCTAATGCACTCTTTAAAAAAACGAAAACCGTCGCAAAAATCTGACTAAAAGTTACAAAATTTATGAAAATATACAAAAAATTCTGTTTATTCGTCTCTTCATAATTATACATTTCGCGATAAGAATTGCTTATCAGGAATTACATTTTATGCCACGAAATGATTGATGTGCATTAAGAGGTTCGTCCGAAGGGAGAATCAGCCACTGTCTGATTCTGACATTATTGCGGGTTTAGGAGTAAAAGTGGGCATAATCCGACTCTGTCCAAATAATTGATTACAAAATTTATAAAAATCATGATTTTTTTATCGTATTTCGTTTTTTCTCCGTAATTATCATTTTTCGATAAAAATCGAGTTTCAGAAATTGTATCTCGTATCAAATTTGACGTGGTTTTTTGTATGCATTAAGAGAAGTTTATGAACATTTATTGTATTTAATTTTTTCGTCGTAATTATTATTTTACGAAAAAATCGAGCAAATTGCAAAAACGTTGCAAAATCTAATTCAAAGCTATACATTTTTTTGAAAATTTGTTAAAGAATATTTCTTTTTTGCTTCGTAATTACGTATTTAGAGACATAATTCAACTATATTGCAAAAATCTAATTAAAAGTGGCAAAATTTATGAACATAATTTTCATTTGTATTTTTTCGGTAATTATATATTTCGCGATAAAATTTGCATGTCCAAAACTTGCATCTCCTTCCAGTCCACGAAATGATTGATGTGCATTAAGAGGTTCATCCGAAGGGAGAAAAGGAGAGCACTATCTGATTCTGACATTATTGCGGCTTGAGTAAAAGTGGGCATAATCCGACTCTCTCCAAACTTATCTGGTCGGCTGGAGAGGAAATACAGTAAAAAGGTGAAGGGATTTAGAGCCCCTGCCTTTTACTTACTCTTCACTGACTCCGAAACACTGCTGCTGCCCCGGGAGGGGGAAGTCCGGGTAGTAGTTCGGATAAAATGAAAATCCGAATTCCAGCCCATCTGCGACCCACCCTGTCACCCGCATCTGGTCCAGAACCCGAAATTGTGGAGGAATGAATCATGTGCAAAAATGCAGGCACTCATTTAAATATTTGAGGGGCCAATCAAAATTTGAATAAGTGCAAATAAGTGAAATTGCAGACATTTTACAGAAATTTAAGTTTCTTAAAATTCAAAATCTGGTAACATTTTTGAATTTTGATTTATTGTTTGATTGAGTTACTGTATTTTGGTCTGAAATTCGGAGGAATGAATCATGTGTAAAAATGCACTCATTTAAATATTTGTGATTAAAATGTTAATATTTGAACAGTGCAGTAAGTTTTTAAAGAGCTTTCAAAATTTCAATTCAGTTATGTATACACTGAGAATAAAATGTTAGCAAATTGCTACTGGGCGGTGTCTATATATGACCTCACCGGTTTGGTAGCGATTTTCCACAGAATTGTAGTAAATTTTCTACCACATTTTGACTAACCGTAACAGCGAGATAAGGAAATGCTACAAGATGGTAGCAAATTTACTACAATTCCGTAGAAAATCGCTACCAAACCGGTGAGGTCATATATAGACACCGCCCAGTAGCAATTTGCTAACATTTTATTCTCAGTGTACCGGAGGAATAAATCTTGTGCAAAAATGCAGGCACTCATGTGAATATTTCTGAGACAATCAAAATGTTAATATTTGCATTAGTGCAAATGTATGAAATTGTAGACATTTACAGAATTTTAAGTTTCTTAAAATGCTAAATCTTATTAAATTGTTAAATTTTCTTTTTTGTTCTTCGGTTGAGTTCTTTTGTTCGAAAATTGCAGAAATTTCTGAGCTAATTTACATATTTAATTGTATGCCTATATGCCAATACATTTAATAAAATTTATAGAAATTTTCAAATTTTGATGTAGACTGTTCTATTGAGTTATTTTTATCTGAAATTAATAAAATAAAAACTCGTAAATTCCTGAACATGCATCCCAAAGCCAAGCAAAATCTATATTTCTACAAATCTTGTATAATCTTGAGACGAATGGGATGCACAATTTGTGAAAATACATTAATTCATTTCTAATTCAAGTAAAATATTAATATTTGCAAACTTTGAAAATTTCAGAACCGTTTAGAATTTTGTTGAGTGTATTTATAATTATAAATTTAAATTAGATCCAATCCAAGAAACTTCTATTTCTGGCGAAATCTATTTGTAGATCTGATTATCTAAGAATATCCTATTTTTTAAAAATTTGAGTTCCGATAATTTTAGAATTATTTCTGAACGAATTGTTATACATATTTGCATTTGCCTTTGTTCTGTGAAGTTAGAGGGTGTTCCGGAAGTAATGCAACTTTGGTCAAATGCACATATAAACTGAAGCAATGCATTAGTTTAGGCGAAATTTTGGTCAGAAATATACAAAGGTTAAAGCTAATTACTTTTTGTTTCGAATGGTCCATACATCTCCTTCCGCCCAATTTGGGGAAGCTTTTGTCGGGGGCTTCCCATTCGTGCTTCGCCACTGTTTCTGGTTACCTTTTTTGGGATTTTTGACAACATGTGGTGAAATAAGTTCAAATTTTTGACTGAAGTTTTTCGATTGCAATATTTTTTTTTGGATAAAAACTAAAATTGTTCAATAGGTCTTGTATTTGACAAATTTGGGAACGTTGTTCACCTCTCCCATGTTAATTGCATTTGATCCGTTTTAAGGCGGAACGGGATACTTTGGCTTAGATTTATTTCCCAGTTTTGCATAAATGGTTTTCTTGAAGGTGGGAGAGTTGTACTATGTGCAAATAAAAGCATTTTGATAATCTGAGCAGTAAATCGTCTTGTACAGGACGATCAATTTTGATTAATTTTGATTACTTCAGGTCAAGGATTTTTTCTGGCCTCCCGCTTGCTACTTTTATTTTACTCTTCACTATATTTATAAGCTTATATAACCTTCTAGGATTTGATGTCCAACTTCTAAGCTTTAAAATAATGTATGGTGTTAGGTGACAACTTCAAGTACTTCAGCGAATTTCGCTCCGACATTGCAAATTTCTGTTTTCACGAAGTTTATTACTTTCGGGGCTGCCACACGAATGGGCCGACCAGATATTTTTTTGCGATTAGTAGTTTTTTGCAGCTCATACCTTAGTAGTACACAGCAAATTGTCACTTTTGAAATTTGTTCTTTTTTAAAGTGAACACAGCTCAATTTCTTGGAGCGCGTAACCACTTTTTCGTTATAGTGGCAGACGATGGTTGCGAGTTGCTTGGTGGTATTTGACCTCATTTTGGAACGGATAGAGATATCGACTTCTGGTTTTCGGATTCTACTAGATAAACGTATGGACTACAATATTTACCCTATTTCGAATTTGGGGCAAATTGATACCCTTGGATATATGCATTTTACCAAAGTTGCATTACTTTCGGAACACCCTCTATTTTTGGTAGACATTTTTAGAAATGCATAAATTCTAGGATCAATCAAAATCAAATAATTCTATAAATCTTTTAACGTCTTTGACATGAATGGGATGCACAATTTGTGAAAATGCATTCATTCAGTTCTGGTCAAAGTAAAATATTAAAATTAGAAAATTTCAGAGTCGTACAGAAATTTTTGGGGTTTATATAATAGAGAGGTTTGGGTCGAAGCGTTTTTGCATTTTAGCTTCCAATTTGGCTTGGTGACGTCACTGATGACGTCACTATTTTTTTCTTGAAGCCAGAATCGCTAGCTAAACTGAAAGTTCTGGCTTCGGGAGCGGCTCCAGAAGCTGGTGTTTTGGCTTCGCCAAAACTCGCTCTCAGCCAATCAGAGAGCGAGTTTTTTGTCTCACCTTGTACCGCGCACTTTTTGAACGGAATCTCACACATGTGAGAATTTATCATCAGTTTCTCCTTGTTACAAAAGTTTCATTTTCTTCAATTAACTAATTAGAAATAGCATCTCATAGTGTAAATAAGCATGGAGGAAGTGTCTATAGCCCAGGGCGAAAAATTAACTAATTTTATCACCGAGGAAGAAATGTGAACACATTTTAAATGTCAACAAAGTTTAAATTTTGCGGGCTGGCCAAGCTGATATCAATTTAGCTTGTAGCCAAACCTGTTTCGTCCAAGACAATCTGTTTTGGCTTGGCTTCGTAAAATGTTGAAGCCAAACCGAAACGGATTTGATTTCAGCTTCGACCCAAATCTCTCTAATAACCAACTCAATAAATATCTAGATTCCACTATGCCTGGTTTGGGAATTCTACGAAGAATTTCATATTTTTTTTAAATTTTGGGCTCCGAATATTTAAAAATCCTTTCTTGCATTTGTAGTCATATTTTTGGCAGAAATTTTTAGAAATTCAGAAATTCCAAAGCCAATCGAAATCTAATATTTCTACAAATCTTGTATCGTCTTTGACATGAATGCGATGCACAATTTGTGAAAATGTATTCGTTAATTTCTGACCAAGAAAAATATTAAAATTTGAAAAATACAGGAGTCGTATAGAAATTTTTTGAGTTTATTTAAACCACAATTCAAGTTAGGTCCCTTTA